AGCTTAACATTCTTTACATAGACAACAACGAACTGAATATTCAACCAGCTAAACATGCTGTACATAGACAACAACGAACTGAACATTCCACTAGTTAAACATTCTGTACATAGACAACAACGAACTGAATATTCCACAAGTTAAACATTCTGTACAAAGACAACAACGAACTGAATATTCGACCAGCTAAACATTCTGTACATAGACAACAACGAACTGAACATTCCACAAGCTAAACATACTGTACATAGACAACAACGAACTGAACATTCCTCCAGCTAAACATGCTATACATAGACAACAACGAACTGAACATTCCACAAGTTAAACATACTGTACATAGGCAACAACGAACTGAAATTCCACAAGTTAAACATTCTGTACATAGATAACAACGAACTGAATATTCCACCAGCTCAACATGCTGTACATAGACAACAACGAACTGAACATTCCACAAGTTAAACATGCTGTACATAGGCAACAACGAACTGGATATTCCACCAACTAAACATTCTGTACACAGGCAACAACGAACTGAACATTCCACTAGCTAAACACTCTGTACACAGGAAACAACGAACTGAACATTCCACCAGCTAAACATGCTGTACATAGACAACAACGAACTGAACATTCCACTAGTTAAACATGCTGTACAAAGACAACAACGAACTGAACATTCCACAAGTTAAACATTCTGTACATAGACAACAACGAACTGAACATTCCACTAGCTAAACATTCTGTACACAGACAACAACGAACTGAACATTCCACCAGCTTAACATTCTTTACATAGACAACAACGAACTGAATATTCCACCAGCTAAACATGCTGTACATAGACAACAACGAACTGAACATTCCACTAGTTAAACATTCTGTACATAGACAACAACGAACTGAATATTCCACCAGTTAAACATTCTGTACAAAGACAACAACGAACTGAATATTCCACCAGCTAAACATGCTGTACATAGACAACAACGAACTGAACATTCCACAAGCTAAACATACTGCACATAGACAACAACGAACTGAACATTCCACTAGCTAAACATGCTATATATAGACAACAACGAACTGAACATTCCACTAGTTAAACAAACTGTACAAAGACAACAACGAACTGAACATTCCACCAGCTAAACATGCTGTACATAGACAACAACGAACTGAACATTCCACAAGCTAAACATACTGTACATAGACAACAACGAACTGAACATTCCACCAGCTAAACATGCTGTACATAGACAACAACGAACTGAACATTCCACTAGTAAAACATACTGTACAAAGACAACAACGAACTGAACATTCCACAAGTTAAACATTCTGTACATAGACAACAACGAACTGAACATTCCACTAGCTAAACATTCTGTACACAGACAACAACCAACTGAACATTCCACCAGCTTAACATTCTTTACATAGACAACAACGAACTGAATATTCCACCAGCTAAACATGCTGTACATAGACAACAACGAACTGAACATTCCACTAGTTAAACATTCTGTACAAAGTCAACAACGAACTGAATATTCGACCAGCTAAACATGCTGTACATAGACAACAACGAACTGAACATTCCACAAGCTAAACATACTGTACATGGACAACAACGAACTGAACATTCCACCAGCTAAACATGCTGTACATAGACAACAACGAACTGAACATTCCACTAGTTAAACATACTGTACAAAGACAACAACGAACTGAACATTCCACAAGTTAAACATTCTGTACATAGACAACAACGAACTGAACATTCCACTAGCTAAACATTCTGTACACAGACAACAACGAACTGAACATTCCACCAGCTTAACATTCTTTACATAGACAACAACGAACTGAATATTCCACCAACTAAACATGCTGTACATAGACAACAACGAACTGAATATTCCACTAGTTAAACATTCTGTACATAGACAACAACGAACTGAATATTCCACAAGTTAAACATTCTGTACATAGACAACAACGAACTGAATATTCCACCAGCTAAACATGCTGTACATAGACAACAACGAACTGAACATTCCACTAGTTAAACATTCTGTACATAGACAACAACGAACTGAATAATCCACAAGTTAAACATTCTGTACAAAGACAACAACGAACTGAATATTTGACCAGCTAAACATGCTGTACATAGACAACAACGAACTGAACATTCCACAAGCTAAACATACTGTACATAGACAACAACGAACTGAACATTCCACTAGTTAAACATTCTGTACATAGACAACAACGAACTGAATAATCCACTAGTTAAAGATACTGTACATAGGCATGAACGAGCTGAACATTCCACTAGTTAAACATTCTGTACATAGACAACAACGAACTGAACATTCAACAAGTTAAACATGCTGTACATAGAAAACAACGAACTGAACATTCCACTAGTAAAACATACTGTACAAAGACAACAACGAACTGAACATTCCACAAGTTAAACATTCTGTACATAGACAACAACGAACTGAACATTCCACTAGCTAAACATTCTGTACACAGACAACAACCAACTGAACATTCCACCAGCTTAACATTCTTTACATAGACAACAACGAACTGAATATTCCACCAGCTAAACATGCTGTACATAGACAACAAAGAACTGAACATTCCACTAGTTAAACATTCTGTACATAGACAACAACGAACTGAATATTCCACAAGTTAAACATTCTGTACAAAGACAACAACGAACTGAATATTTGACCAGCTAAACATGCTGTACATAGACAACAACGAACTGAACATTCCACAAGCTAAACATACTGTACATAGACAACAACGAACTGAACATTCCACCAGCTAAACATGCTATACATAGATAACAACGAACTGAACATTCCACAAGTTAAACATACTGTACATAGACAACAACGAATTGAAATTCCACTAGTTAAACATACTGTACATAGGCATGAACGAGCTGAACATTCCACTAGTTAAACATTCTGTACATAGACAACAACGAACTGAACATTCAACAAGTTAAACATGCTGTACATAGACAACAACGAACTGGATATTCCACCAACTAAACATTCTGTACACAGGCAACAACGAACTGAACATTCCACTAGCTAAACACTCTGTACACAGGAAACAACGAACTGAACATTCCACCAGCTAAACATGCTGTACATAGACAACAACGAACTGAACATTCCACTAGTTAAACATACTGTACATAGGCATGAACGAGCTGAACATTCCACTAGTTAAACATGCTGTACATAGACAACAACGAACTGAACATTCCACAAGTTAAACATTCTGTACACAGACAACATCGAACTGAACATTCCACTAGCTAAACATTCTGTACACAGACAACAACGAACTGAACATTCCACCAGCTTAACATTCTTTACATAGACAACAACGAACTGAATATTCCACCAGCTAAACATGCTGTACACAGACAACAACGAACTGAACATTCCACTAGCTAAACATTCTGTACACAGGCAACTACGAACTGAACATTCCACTAGCTTAACATTCTGTACACAACATACAACAACGAACTGAACATTCCACTAGCTAAACATTCTGTACACAACATACAACAACGAAATGAACATTCCACCAGCTAAACATTCTGTACACAGGTAACAACGTACTGCCATGGGCGGCTATTTCTCCAGAACTCTCCCACAGAGAAGATGTCTCGGATGAGATTGAGAAATCAGTCGGAACACATCGTAGGTAACTTCCATATCTCGAGTATCTTTAAGTTGAAATGAACCGACGTTTATCTGAATGCTTGGGTAAAGGCAAGTAACTCGGTTTGTTTGCGTCCTCCTGCTTCGAGTTTGGCTAACTCAGTAAAAAGGCGGACATATATTCCGGGCCTGTTCGTTGCCAACCGATCTCACGGGGCATAAGGTGTGATGAACCTTGTGTACATTAGCTCACACACAGGGCACATCACACCATGTACCCCTCGAGGTCGGGTGAACACTTGTAATGTGCCGCCGCTGCCTTGCCAATATCTACTAAAATGGTTGTAACATCCGATATTGACATTGTTAACTGAGTTGTTACACCACCGCTCTTAGAGGGCGAGACCCGTGAAGATCAGGGGTAGAATAGGTCTTCAGCAACCAATGTTTGCTGTAAAAGGCGACTATGCTTGTCGTAAGAGGCGACTAACGGGGTCGGGTGGTCAGGCTCGCTGACTTGGTTAATACATGTCATCGATCTCAATCGCGTGGATCGATGCTCATGATGTCAACCACTGGATTGTCTGGTCCAGACTCCATTATTTTACAGACCGCCGTCATATAGCTGGAATATTGCTGAGTGCGGCGTTAAACAACAAACAAACAAAACAAACAAACTTAGAGGGCGAGCCTCCATGTCTAGTGTTACCATTATGGGTTCTGGCAATGACATTGTTAGGATAAAACATTGATCAGACGACTGACCAAATATTATTTTGTATATTTTCAGTAACAACATTCACACCACTTTATATGAAGCACAGTTACTTTTTCCGCTAGTATATATCTGTTTCCTTAATAGAATCGCTTTCGCTCTTCATTATCGGCTGTTAAACTAGTGCGTTACATGTAAAGCAATGGTTTCAGTAGCATTGTATAAAACACACTAAGTCTTAAAAAAACCGGATTCATTTTTCCTCCTTGTTATCACGAAATATTAGGTAATGATTTGAAAATAGGGAAGAACTGAACGTAATCATACTCATACATTTCCGAGTATGTCTCATATTTTGCCTGAGGAAACAAGGCCTGGTTTCTTGAAATTGAGGGTCTGGTGAGGTGAAATGGGTTTTAATATAACGTTGCGTCCAAGATTATTGCACTTTTATAGCCACGTTCATGTACCCGTGTTTGTGTGTGTGGCTGCTTGTACTAGTCGGGACTGATGCCGATTTATAGTGCAAGCATACTGAGAAACCATGCTGCAGTTCAACATGAATACCCCACTCAGGCACAGTATACTGACTCCGAGCCGACCAGTCCTTGTTTTAGCCCCTTAATGCCTAGCGCCAGACATGGTAACAAAAAGTACCATATTTTAACGTCTTTTGGTAGGACGCAGCAAAGCCCAAATAATATGCTTCTAGCAAATAATAAGGTCAATTATACATTAAATTTTCTATCTGCGTACGGGCAACAAATTGCAAGGATGTCATAGTTACTTCACTGTTCACGGTTCTGCGTTGGATCGAAGCTTGTTCTTGTCGATGGTTAGGTTTGACAGTGACAGAGGGTTGGGGTTAGGTTTGAGGGTAGCCACACTGTAGTCGGGGTCGTCCTGGTTGTGGATATCGGGACTAAGGCTCTTTGTGGAAAGTTGGAGAGGGGGAGCCGTATCCCGATGTTGATGGGCTCAAGGGCGTCATTCCCTTCAGGGGTAAACCGTAGCGAAGGTGAAACAAAGGCCGGGTTGCTTTGTCTCCTGGGTAAAAATAGAATTCATAGATGGTTCTGTGGTAACAATTGAATAATATACGTATATTGATAATTATAAATAGATTTGTCTGCATGCATATAATGAATTCAGACATGTCGTTTCGGAAAATATAGATTTGTCTTGCCACGAATGTCTTTCATATTGACAAACGTCCATTCAATAAAATGTATTGGTGTGGTACCAACCTTTTCATATACAAGATGAAGATAATACCAACAGTCACAAATCCAACCAAAAACCCAACAGGAAGGAAAACAAGCTTTGATCCAACTGAAACATAATTTGACAAATGTGTACATTTAAAAGGAGGTATATATATATAACTTGGTACAGCAGTTGGTAGACGAACTTTACCACCGATACACAGACGTGTCTGAAACAAGCACACAATATTAGTCTATTAATCGAATCAAACAGATACATGCACTTGTACCAACCCAAGAACGGCCTTACCTGATGGCACTGATTGCGTCCCATCGGTGTTTGAAGCTGCTTCTGTCGCTGAAAAAAGAAATCGACAATATCATTTAACCAAGCTGTTTAGGACTTCCTTTTCAAACGTGATATGACGAAGTGTGAAAAATAATTCGTGTCATTATTATTCTCGTGTCGTTATTATTGACAGAGGGTTGGGGTGAGGTTTGAGCGTAGTACGCGTATCTGTACTTTACTGGGAAAGTGTTATCCCAAATATAACATGTGCTACATTTGACCTCTTTCTAAATGGCATTGTGTGTTCGTATTATTATTCTCCTGCTGATCCAGAATATTTAGATTATCGGAATGCTGACGTTCCCCAAGAAAATAATTATGCTGAATGAGTGAGCGAGTATATATTGACAAGAAGAAATAGTGAGTGAGTGAGTGAGTATTGCATTACGCCACCATTAAGCAATATCACGGCGGGGGACACCAGAAATGGGCTTCACACATTGTACTCATGTCGGGAATCGAACCGGGTTTAACCACTAGTCTACCCCACCGCCTCTCCAAGTAGAAATAGCAAAGGACATACCCTTACATGTGTGATCAGGAGTATCAGGAGATCAGGAGTATCTACATTTCATTTTTGTCTGTTTGTTTCTACTAGAAATGCATATACATTTAAATTGTCAAATTTTCATGACATGATGAGTATATTACTGATAGATTATTTTGTATTGAACGTCGTGCTATGCTATTCCATTCCTTTTGTATTTTATACTACTACTGCCACTGTGGTTATTTCCACTGTTATTACAATACCTCTAATACATGTCAAGCATCATATTAGTTATCCAATAATTATATAATAAGCTGTACAGCTGTAAACGATATTGTTTATCTGTATGTGTATATGGGCCAATGGCCTTTCATACAATAAAGATTGATTGATGTGACTGTAACGTCAGAGCCGTTGTGTCCTGTAGAAAAGGAAGATAATTAATTAATGAAGACGTTTAATATTAATGATAAAATTGCACGTTTTTGTCATCAAAGGCGCATTATTAAAAAATTACCTTTCAGTCTCATCCATATCTTGTCAGGGAGATAGTCACGGATAACGTCCACCTGTTAACTCCACTCTGATTGGCTGATAGTAATCTCCTTTTATGCAGTGGACTGCCAGGTCGCCACCATGGATTGTGTACACTGTACGTGTCTTGTCTCTGATGGACAGTGTGGTCACGTTGCTGTTGCCCAGTCTGACGTCCAGCAGGATGAGGCGGCTCACAGCTCCACTGACTGTACAGGTGCAGGTGCTTGTTTCCCGAGATGACATCTTCAGTCGGTTGCTGCTGATGTAGACCTCCTTGTCTGTTTTGGTCTTCCTTTCACACAACAAGACACTGGCAACTTGGTCTGAAATAATGTGTTCTACTTGTCTGAGAAAGTAAATCACATATAATTCGATTTGTCGATGTTATACTATTTATACAAATAACAGGAAATATGTTGTCATTATTATCCATTCTGTATGCTGGCACACGTTTAAAATCAATTCCAAATAACCAATGATAAAATTGAATACACAATGTCATTTAGAAAGTGGTCAAATGTAACAAATGTTATATTTGTGATAACACTTTCTTAGTAAAGTACAGATTCTCATACTTTTTTAGATTGAGTCCCGTCTGAAGATAATTATAATCTTAAGATTATTCGCATATGCCAAGATTATACAAATATTGTCACAATTGTTAGTGTTGACATGGATGGGTACACTCCTTGGAAATGAGAAGGCTTTGTGAAAAATGTTAAGACAGCTGTGGAGTGGCGATATCAGATTCCGGTCACACAATAGATTACTCAGAAAGTAATGTTCCCAGCTGCCAGTGATTGAATCAAAGTGTTTCATTTGTTCATAACACATTAACCTCGTGGTGATTCCAAGTTGGAATAGATCCCAGTTACCTTGTGGAATGAGGTTATGGTGGACAGGGTGAATCTAGCGTAAAACATACAAATAACCTTTTGGAGTGTCATCACATGTTTTAGGTCAGTCTGTTATTACGTGTACAATATGAATGCAGAAAGGAATAAAACAGAATATATAATACAAATGTGAGTGGTGAGGGTAGGACCACAACGTCTACAACGTGGAGCATACTCTTAACATTAAAACTTGCACTAAACATTTCCATAGCTATATCACGCTCTTTACCTTTGACACACTCATGCAATTCCACCAGATGCGACGGGCGTTTCTTTCTCTCTCCTACTGGGAGGTCCTTCAGACCATGGATAGAGGAACTCGGATCACTCTCCAGGATACAGTACCTCTTCTGACTACACTCCTCCAGGACCTCCATGATCGCGGCCTGATAAGCCCTCTTCTGATGCACATCCGATGCGTTTAACAAACATTCCCCAACGTCATAGTATTCATCATTGAATTTTTCTACACAGGATCTGTAGTCTGCACCCTTGTCGTCACCGTCCTTACTTACATGAGCTTTTTGCAAGAAGCGTTTGACCAACACTGATTCATTTCTGGGACACTTGATCTCTTTACTCCCCTCATTGTAACAAACGCTAATAACATCCCCTTCTATTTCTGCCACATCCATTTTGTCACAAATGATGGCACCTGAAGTATAACAGAAAAAAGTGCATGAGGTCATTTCACAAAGATTATTGATTTGTATTTTGAATTCAGGAACAGGGAAGTTCAGGATAACGTCAGTGTGAAGAGTGAGTATACATTCAACGTCGCATGGGCAAGAACAGAGTCAAGCAGTTTTCAATGTGTAGAAATAAAGAAAGTTTATGACAAATACGGGTGACCTAAACAAGTATAAGGCACCTTTCAGAGGACAAAACTGTATACCTTGAAGCAGTTGCATAAGACATATTCTATCCCTTACAAGAAACTCACCCAGAAATTAACTCACCCACTCTGAATAAAAGATTGACAGGAAATAGAGAAAATGAACATTTCCTGTTATTGATCGCAGGGAAAATTATTTACTAAAATTCTGATTTCAGTGTCTAATATTTCTCTTTAACATTCATCAAATATCTTAATAGAATATGCATCGCCAGTGAAAATAGTTTTGTTTGAAGCCTTATTCAACACTTCATCAAGAAAATCTGAAGATAGTCAGGGAGGAGGTCTGGGATTTTGTTTTGAGACCAGATATTTTTTCAGCTATAGATGCAACACCAGATATTATTTATATTTAAAGCTATGAGCCTAAATATATAAAAATAATAATTAAAAACACATATGCAACAATGTCAAATTGGCAGACATTTTCTGTATTTTTCCAAAAATGTGAAGTATAATTATTTTTTCACGATTTTTCTTGGACAGTTTATTTTTTGCGATAAAATAACAACCCAAACCCAACCCAAACCTCTCCAGAATATCAAATTGTCAGGACTCTAATGGCTCGTGGTCGTTTAAAACAGAATATGCATTGCCAGTGAATATAATTTTATTTGAAAGTTCATTTTAAACTTCATTCAAGTAATATGTATTCAGCTGCAACTTTCGTTCCAAACAACTATATGATGCCGCTCAGTTCAGGCCATTCTGATAATCTGAGTATATTACCTTTGAGTAATGTTATCATACTAGTGCAACCTCGTGTGACACTGTTTGCCAATAGTTAGTCATGTAAATTCTCTGTATGCTTGTCAAAGCAATTTGATATCCTTTTATACCGGACTTTGGCCTCCAAATAACAGTGTAAGACGGGTTTGAGATGGGCGTCTCTGGCTCCGTGTCCCTCCGTGTCTACCCCTGGATTATCATTTTAGACTCTGTTGTCGACGTCCCCGCAGCCGGCGGATCGCCTGATCACAGATGGGGAATTGTCTGCTCAGATGAGTAGTATGCGAGCCAACATGGCCCAGAGCGTGGCCGAACTCAAGTCTATGTTTGCTTCATTCGGCCAAACTTGGTAAGTGGAAATCGAAATCCCCGCGCTCTTAGTCGTCTAAGCCCGACATCCATCACTCTTGTGAGGGGAAATCGGAGTCCTCCAAAGACGGTTCTTGGTTCACGTCGGCTGTCTCGAGGATCAGTTATGGTCCAAACCTATTGTGGATCTTCGGCAGGTAATTACTTCCACAACGACCTACGGGATCGGGTGGTCAAGCTCGCTGACTTGGTTGAAGCATGTCATCTATCCCAATTGGCTTGATCGATGTTCATGATATCAATCACTGGATTGCCTGGTCAAGACACGATTATATACAGACCACCGTCATATGGCTGGAATATTGCTGACTGCGGCACAAAACAACAAACCAACCAACCAAAAAAGCCTATGTTTTCTGCCTCTCCGTCGAAGTCTTCATCGTCCAATGTTATTGTCCCTCTCTGCGGCGGTGCCTACAATACAGCTGAAGACAGAAGTGTCCCCTGGCTGTTCTAGAGCGCCCGGACAACCCGGTGTCTCTGCCATTCGAACTCTGCTGGGGAATCTTCATGTTCGGGCCACCCGTGAAGTGGACAAGAGGATTGCCCTTGACAAGATGGGTGACAAGCCTGCCCGTGTCTACTTCACCTCTATGCATTTCATGACCACCACACGGGGTGTCCCATTTGCCTGGTGTTGTTGACATCGATGCATATTTCAGCATTCTTTATCCTCCGTGGTTCCGTTTTACTGTATTCAGGAGGCCGACATTTACCTCGCCATGCCCCTGAGATTAGATCGTACGTGGGATGGTTCTCGGTCAGTGTCCGGGAGATCCTTCCCACCACTAGCGTCTGAAGAAATTACCCGACCCGTCCGAGGGGTCCCATCCAGCCTTGTTTCTACATTCAGTCCTTAATTCTATAGCCCTCAGTTACTTTGACCTCCTTGATTGTTTGCCCCATTCGGTGTCGGGGGCTCAAAGCGGCCGGCTTATAGTCAATGTTCAGATAGCGTAGGCACTGTGAAGCAGCCTCCGTCTTAAGCCTTGAAGGAGGTGAAATGGGGTTTAACGTCGTGTTCAAGATTGCTGCACCTAAATAGCGACGTGCATGTCCATGCGTGCGTGCGTGGCTGCTTGTACGAGTCTAGACTTATGCCGATTTTACAGAGCTAGCCTACTCAGATACCATGCCGCACTTTAACATGAATACCCAACTCAGACACAGAGACGGCCAGTCCTTGTTTTAAATGTAAATCCTTCAAGCTGAGCGTTAGGCAGGGTAACAACAACTATCATATTTTGACGTCTTTTGGTATGACACGGTGAACCCCCGACCTTCCTCTTTCCGAGCAGACGTGCTACCACGAGACCACGGAGGCGGTCTAGTTTGTTTTGGAATCCGATTACGGAGCGTGTAATTTGATCACTTTCACATGGACAATTAAATACTTCCTGCTAATGTTATTGTATTCTTTTTCTCTGGAATTGACTTAAAGTGGCTAGGAAGACTGATATTCGCAACGACATTGCTTTTTCACTTTACTTGACTTTTGAGAAGAAGCAAGAAAATAAGTCTAGATGAGAAAAGTGAGGTAAGTACTTATTATAATCAAAGGCAATGATACAATTGTTAACTTGTATGTATTCTAACGGAAAAAGTAACTGTGCGTCATATAAAGATCAATAAAAGTACATGTATTCTGAAATTAAATAATGCATATTTTAATGCGAATGCGTCCAGGAGAACGTTTTGGTTACGCTTGTGTTACTCAACAGCGTTAGTTTGGAAGTTAAAGTGTAATGACGGCATAGGACGCCATACCTCTGTATACAACATGTCTGGAGTGAGATTGAGCGACGCCTACGACAGGACCAGAACCAGCTCAATCGGGACAATCATTGGTTGTCTTTTGCAACAACAACACCCAGGCTGTGTTCTATCATCTGGGGTATTCAGTGGTTCGCCGCTGCCCCGCCTGTATCAACGCATGGTCTTACCCGATAACGACATTGTTAATTGAGTTGTTACACCACCACCCTGCGTGTCTCTCTGCCTCCTGGTCTCCTGAGTTTTGCCAGTGACATTTTATGATACAACATTGATCAGAAGAATGTAAAAATATTATTCTGTATATTTTCAGTAACATAAGATTGACACAACTTCATATGAAGAACGAGGCATGGGTGTCCCTGTGGTATAAGGTGCTGCAATTAGTTGTGCAGAGTTGCGTCCCTTGGGCACGTCAGAAACGTCTTTGACTGTGGGTTCGAATCCCGGTTCGCCCATATTATGTTACTAGGTTTGTCAGCACCATGCACGTGCTCGTGGGTTTCAACAAAGTGGTAAACGTCTGAGACTTGCATCACTTCAGGTTCTCCTCCCATATTAAGCTGACAGCCTTAATGTAACTGGAATGTTTAACGGGCGTTAAATCCCACTCACTCACTCACTCACTCACTCACTCACTCACTCACTCACTCATATGAAGCACAGTCACTTTTTCCGATTTATTTCCGGATTTAAAAACCATAATAAACCATTATTAAATCACATAAAAATATATTTATTATTACAACACGAACTGAATTTGCTTTTAAAGGAGGTTGTTATATATCCGGATTGTTTATTGAGTCAGTTAAGATTAGAATTATAACTGCTTTGAAAATTATGTCAGTTTTTTTCAGTGATTACTAACAAGAAGTCAACAATATATCAATTCAACTGTAAATTACTATAAACGATAAGTGACATGCTACAAATAATTCATGGTATTCTATTTATTAGCTTGAATGACCAAAGTACAGCAGTTATTCATATGGTATCAGTACATGCTTCGTATTTGAGTTTCAGAGGTTAATACAGCACCGTTAATAATCTGACTCAACTTACCACCCTCCTCCACATTTGCATTCCTTGTCCAAACAATCTGATGTTTTACCATCGAGAACATTTTCAAAAAGAGCATGCGTGTAGGTTATGTATATTATCAGTTACAGTCAACATCGGAATTGGAAAAGTGGGATAAAATAAATTTTAAAAACCACACGAAATCATATTCAACAACACTACACATAGGTATAATGTTTAGTTTGTTTGTTTGTGTGTTGTTTAACGCCGCACCCAGCAATATTCCAATTATATGACGGCGGTCTGAACCAGACAATTAAGTGACTGACATCATGAGCAACGGTCCACGCCGTCGGGGTACGATGACACAAATCACCAACCCTGGTCGCTCGGTCTCCTCTTACGACACGCATCGAGCTACTAAATATGCGAGCCTCACCAACCGAGCCAAGCATAGGTTGCTGAAGACCTATCCAAACCCGGATCTTCACTGGTCCCAGCGAATAATGATAATACGATTTGAAGGATTCTTATAGTTGGTTCTATCAGGATGCAACAGTGTAGACATCTACTTACAAAGACAGGAATTCGCCAGTAACACCAATAATCCAAACACGCTGACCGTCTCCATGGATGTACTCGAATCATGTGAGTTAATATTTCCCTATTCAGATATGGTTATGTCTTTCTACACTTGAATAGAATGTTGAATCTGTCAAAATCCCGCCTTGATGTTTCCAGCTCTAATATTGATCTGATATGCAGTCCCGTCATTTGCGTCTTCTTTGTCGGCCGGACACAGGCTCGTTAAACAACTAAACTAAATGTCTATTTCCAAAGGAGCAGGAGCTGTGTACTGTCGTGAATTAAAGACACAAAACCTTTCCATATTCAAAGGCGACTGTGCTTGTCGTAAGAGGCGACCAACGGGATCGGGAGGAAAGGCACGCTGACTTGGTTGATGCATGTCATCGTATCCCAATTGCATTGATCGATGCTTTTGATGTCAATCACTGGATTCTCTTGTCCAGCCTCTATAACTTACAGACTGCCGTCATATAGCTGGAATATTGCTGAGTGCGGCGTAAAACAACAAATATAGAAACAATCTGCGTCCCTCGTTAGTTTTTCGGAAGGCGCATTAAACGACTTGTACCCCTCGTGATACTGATACAACTTATGTTGGGCGTAAAAGTAAAATGAGGGATACAAATTACATGAATAGATCACTGAAAATCAGTGATGACACCAGGTGTTCGCGAGTGAAGCTTTCTCCTGGTACTTGGCAATATACTTTCGCTTTTATCCTTGATAGTTAGACTAGGTCCGGAGTAACCTATCTTTTATCCTTGATAGTTAAACTAGGTCCGGAGTAACCTATGCCTGTCTCGGGAGGCGACAGGAAGGATCGGGTGGCTGGCCTCGGCTGATTGCATGCATCGGATCCCGAAGACTTTGGGCGTCTCTCATAATGTCAGTCACTGGATTGTCTGATAATTTACAGGATGCCATGATCTAGCTTGTTCTGTTTGTTGTCGAGGTCTACGACTGCTGAACTGTGTCCACTGTGTAGAACTCAGATGAAACCCACAACCACAGGTAAATTAGTGTCAAACAGACGACTACATTCAGGGCGTATGCGGGATTCGAACACCCCAACATCGGATCCTGGCACGACTCGGGGACGCAACACTCGAATGTGTGTTTTGCGACTGTCGAGGAATTTACTGACCAGGGGTTGACAGACTGAGCAAAGTAAAGTTTTCAAAACAAGGAGTGTTACCTCTGCATCCACAACAACCACGACAGAAGAACTTGAGATTCTACACAAGTCTTTAGTGCCTTGTATAGATAAGGTCTACCTCAAAAATCCATTTTCACTACAATGCATTTCATCATATGGTACTTAGCATATGTTCTATAAGTGAAATGGATGCAAATGGTTATTACAAATTACAAACATAAGGATCTTTTCTTTTTGATACATATATGGACAAAACACATGGTAGGAGACAGATTTTATTGCAGGCAAAGCATGGTGACAGGTCTTTTTTACAAGTTGTTTGTAATCCAAAATCAATTTATCAGTGAATAATCATGTCCTGTCAATTGTCCTTGAATTAACTGTGCTTACATCAAGGGTTCCTGTAATAAAATATGGAAGAGCAGCTCCAATCTTGTATTTTGTGAGCCTACATCCTTTGTTTAAAATTCAGACCTAGATGTTTATGCACAGTTCAATGCCATTACAAGGTGTTTACAATAACAAAACCCTTTCCATAATCCTTTCCCAAACATAACATAGTCTACAAGCACCATGCACAATAAACAATGGTCCGTAGAGTTGAAGGTCGGTGGTTCGATCCCCTGGCCCCGTCACACCAAAAGCTGTTATAAGATGGTACTTGTTGTTACCCTGCCTGGCGCTCAGCATCATACAGCCATGACTGGTCAGATCGGTGTCTGTTCAATTCGCCTGAGCCCGTGTTGTCCATTTTAATCTACGGCATGGTATCTCAGTGGGTTAGCGCTGTAAAACCGGCATAAGCCCGGACTAGTAGCCACAAACATGCATGCACGTGAAGATCCAGGGTAGAATAGGTCTTCACCAACCAATGCTTGTTGTAAAAGACGACCTTGCTTGTCGTAAGAAGCGACTAACGGGATCGGGTGGTCAGGCTCGCTGACTTGGTTGATGGATGTCATCGGTCCAAATTGCGTGGATCGATGTCCATGATGTCAATCACTTGATTATCCGGTCCATACTCGATTATTTACAGACCGACCTCATACAGCTGGAATATTGCGGAGTTCGGCGTTTAACAACAAACAAACAAACAAAGCATGCACGTCTATAATTGAAGTAAACATAATCTTGAACGCGACGTTAAACCCCATTTGACATCACCATACAATATAAATGTCACAAAATGGTCACCACGTCAAAAAGTAAACGTTACAAATGACATGGATGAGGAGTTCCACATTCCATCATATGACGCTATCAATGTTAATGTCAGGTGTTGTCACCAACGATATCTACAGTACAAGATGCAAAATGGTCTGTAAAATACAGTCTCCTTAATAATAGTGCAATAAACAAAGCAAGAAGCATTGACACTATTTCAGCAAGGCTGGCGAGGCTGGTTTATCGTGTCTGTCGGTGAACAGGCACTAGGTAGTAATCATTGCATCCTGCTGCTCCCTGGTCACGTGGGTCATCCGGCATGTGGTAGTGAGGTTCAGCAGCATCTCCTTCTGGTGATCCGATTGGCTGCTGGACACGTGACTCATCCGGTTGAGAGTAGTAGACCACGCCCTTATCGCCTCCTTCGTTAGACGTGGAGCCCGCGTGTCCTGACCTCCTGAAACACGATAATGCTCTGTCAGAACGAATGGATAATATTGTTGTATTTCTGCTTTTGTTGATATGTCTCACAGGATGAAAACATTATGACAAATACTAGTTCAAGTCCTTGTTCTTATTATTTACCTTTTAACACAAATAGCCATGATGAAACCAACAGAGACAAACCCTGTGACAAAGCCAACGCACACAAACACAATCTGGGTGTGACGTTCACCTGCAATGAAAAGGAAACAATGGAAATATGTTATCCAGAACAAAACAGAATATCCTGACGTCGGAGTGCCTGGGGACAGATTAGACCCGTAACGATCCGGGGTAGAATTGGTCTTCAGAAACCCATGATTGCCGTAAAAGGCGACTATGCTTGCCATATAGCTAGAATATTGCTGAGTTAAACAACAAACAAACAACTGAAGTCACAACTTCGTGCGTAAGACCCAAACATGATGCAGTTCACAGAAAATATCCCATTTACTGGAATCATCGAGTATAGCTGCAGTGTTGACCTGGAGTCATAATTAGGAGGATTTTTTTAAAACGACCATCAGTGGAATACTGAACTACGAGATACGATGCCTCAGAGTAATCATTAATCTGTGCCCATCCCAGCCCCCCCTCCCCCCCCCCCCCCCCCTCCCTCCGAGATGCGTTCATGACGTACTCGTAATACATTAAGATATTAACCACCTGCCACAGATGTAGTGATAAATACAATAACACTATGTTCTTAATAATTCAACACTCTTCACCTGACGAAGATCGTGGCGCCACATGTGTGTCACGAGTCTCTGATTCTGAAACAATTTTTAAAAAATGATATGGGGGCATATAGATCAATGCAATAACAATGTAGGACAAAGACGTCCAGTTTGACCTACTCAAGTTTTAAACTATGTTTTTCTATCCAATTGACGTTTTCTCATTCAAAAGACAATTAATAAGATGTCAGAAGAATGTATTCATTGAACCATGCTCGATGCACATTGAAATACATACACAATATATTTTGATTCACATTTTGTTTCCTCTCCAAATACAACCTGCCCTGAATGGTCTAGGAACCTCAACTCCGCTGCTTGCAACTTACAACAGCTAATATCATTATTGGAATCTCTCTATTTATTATGGTTGAGAAAGAGGTGCCTCCTTTCAGTATCACTTTCACTTGATGCGGTTTCACCTGTTTTAATCAGATATGGAAGAAGAATAACTTGGTGATTTGGAATAAATAAAATTGTCTCTCGAACAGACCCCTGAGTATATATTTTATTAAACAATCGCATTCTCACCCCATCAGCTCGTGGTAAGTTACCATACGTTATACATACATGATAGATTATGTTTCATTTCCTTAGCACTGTACGTTGATAATAATAACGTTTCGTTTTTTCGTTGATGTCAATCTAACTTTCAAATAATGTTAGCTTAATTTGGTGAATAATTATGCTGAATGAGTGAGCGAGCATATATTGACAAGAAGAAATAGTGAGTGAGTGAGTGAGTATTGCATTACGCCACCGTTAAGCAATATCACGGCGGGGGACACCAGAAATGGGCTTCACACATTGTACCCATGTCGGGAATCGAACCGGGTTTAACCACTAGTCTACCCCACCGCTTCTCCAAGTAGAAATAGCAAAGGACATACCCTTACAACTGGCTGTAACGTCAGAGCCGTTGTGTCCTGTAGAAAGGGAAGATAATTAATTGACGAGGACGTTTAATTTTAATGATAACATTACACGTTTTGTCATCAAAGGTGCCTTATTAAATTATTACCTTCCAGTCTCATCAATATCTTGTCAGGCAGATAGTCTCGGATAACATCCACCTGTAAACTCCACTCTGATTGGCTGATGGTAATCTCCTCCATGAAGTGGATTGCCAGGTCGCCACCGTGGATTTTGTACACTGTACGTGTCTTGTCCCTGATAGACAGTGTGGTCACGTTGCTGTTGCCCAGTCTGACGTCCAGCAGGGTGACGCGGCTCGCAGCTCCACTGACTGTACAGGTGCAGGTGCTTGTTTCCAGAGATGACATCTTCAGTCGGTTGCTGCTGATGTAGACCTCCTTGCCTGTTTCGGTCTTCCTGTCACACAACAAGACACTGGCAACTTGGTCTGAAAAGTCATATCATGATGGATAAGTTCTTCATGAGGAGGGGTGGTCGGGTATCCTAATGGTTAAAGCGTTTGCTCGTCACGCTGAAGACCCGGGTTCGATTCCCGATATGGGTACAATCTGTACCCCGCCGTGATATTGCTGGAATATTGCTAAAAGCGGTATTAAACCACACTCACTCACTCACTCACTCACTCACTGTATGAGGAGTCATAAATTTGATTTGTTAACAAGGGATGATGCTTTGCTTTAAACATGATAAATAGGAAAGTATATAATCAATGATTATGGTCGTATTTCCATATGTTAATATAGGTACGCACATCTGAAACTATGTATATGTTATTATATATATCCATGCATACACTCCTTCAATATACAACGCTTAAATATTAATTTATATATTGTGATAAATGGAAACACAACTGCTGTTGGGTTTCCAGCTGCCTGTGACAAATCCCCGTGTACAGCATGTTCCTTGAACACTTGCTACGTGGAGATTCCGGCTTAGAATAGATCCCCAGCAACCTTTGTCGAGCGGGGCGAGTTAATATTGGGCTGACCGTACAGTTGGAATATTGTTAATTGCTGCATTAAACGACAAACAAACCACTTTACTTTGGAGTGTCAGATATTTGGGTCAATGTGTTATTAAGAGTACAACGCGATTACAGAAAGGAATCAAACAGAGATCAACATATAGACTTGAATGGTTAGAATAGTCTGGTCAGCTGGCAGTTTCGGTACATTTGCTTCGTGACATTCAGATTCCACTATTGTAGTATGTGAGCCAATCTATGTAATGAGCATCACCTTGAAAACTAGTGCACAAAGACATTGTTTCAGTGGTAACATGGCACAAACTAAAACAAACGTGGAACATAGTCTCGCTTAAAGTTAAAAATCTTCAGTATATGTCCCTGTAAATGGCAGGCTGTAATTTACCTTTAACACACTGATGCAATACAACCAGATGTGACGGGCGCTCTCCTACTGGGAGGTCCTTCAGACCATGGATAGAGGAACTCGTGTCACTCTCCAGGATACAGTACCTCTTCTGACTACACTCCTCCAGAACCTCCATGATCGCTGCCTGATAAGCCCTCTTCTGATGCACATCCGATGTCATTAACAAACATTCCCCAACGTCATAATATTCATCATTGAATAGTTCTACACAGGATCTGTCGTCTGCATTCCTGTCGTCACCGTCCCTACTTACATGAGCTCTTTGCATGAAGCGTTTGACCAACACTGATTCATTTCTGGGACACTTGATCTCTTTACTCCCCTCATTGTAACAAACGTTAATAACGTCCCCTTCTATTTCTGCCACATCCACTTTGTCACAAATGATGGAACCTGAAGTATAACAGAAAAAAGTACATGAGATTATTTCACAAAGATTATTGATTTGTATTTTGAATTCAGGAACAGGGAAGTTCAGGAAAACGTCAGTGTGAAGAGTGAGTATATATTCAACGTCGCATTGGCAATAAGAGAGTCACGCAGGTTTCCCGGATGGTATCAGGCGGGAAAAGAAACAGAAGGACAAAAAGAGGTTCCAGATTACCTGTTCAAGGTGGTCAAAACGTACAATGTAAAACAAAAGGGCTAACATACAGCCTCAAGGCTTTGATGATGTACACCAAATATTTGACAACTTTTAACTATTGAGAGCAAACTGAAAACTCGAAAAACTGAAATATTGGAAAAGGGTCCAAGAGAAAAGCACTTGCAGATAAGAAAGCAACCGTCACATAAAGCACAGGAGTCCGTATCTAAAAATAGACGCCCTCATGCATATTCATGACCATCTTCACACGCGAGCCCGAAGGAGATGGTCATGAATATGCATGAGGGCGTCTATTTTGAGAAACAGAGTCCTGTGCATAAAGTCATTTTGTAATTAAAAGACACTTTTACTGATGACCTACTTCAAATTTTAAATGCTGCATAAAACACGGTATAAGCAGATTTAATATTTGAAACGCATTAATACAATAAAGTCCGACATTATTTGCCATTGTCGCAGATTTTCATGCCATGTACTTTCTCAAACATCAACACAGCTCCCTGCTTTTTATGAGACCTATAGTGGAATCTTATCCTATATGCGACACAGAGATATAAATAGCATATTGTTGCTTCCAGTTCACTTGAAGAACGCATTTATGTATACGACCGTGTTTCTAAACACATTTGAATTGTCAAACTTGATACTTTTTTTCAAGAAGCGCGAAATACAGATGGAAGGCGGAAATTTAAAAAATAATTCGGCTGAGGGAAAGATTTGACTCACCATACCAGAACCATACAGCGATATAGAGAGAGCATATTCAAAACACTACAGGTTCATAACAAATAAAGTTGACCTCAAAACCGTATCACCATGTAATTACCAGTGGCATGGATTGTTTCATTGAAATATGGTGTGAATATTAGTCACATGTACATTAAACTTAAGTAAATCGTTGTTAAATTTATCAACAAGAGCAAAGAAAGCTGTCTTTCAATTGCAGTCTGTTGTGTATAAACTTGGCGTTGATACACCTCACATTTTCTTTAACCTGTTTGATTGTCAAATACAGCCCATCTTATTATATGGCGAAGAATTATTGGGCTGTCGAGAGTTTTATTCTATCGAAAAGGTTCAAAAAAGATTTCTTAATGTGGGCATGTCAACTCCCAGTAATATGGTTTATGGTGAATGTGGGAGGTTCCCACTATATATAACATCTTATACTCGATACCTACGCTATTGGCTGAAGTTATTATGTGTACCTGAACATCGTTTGCCAAGGAAAGCCTATAATATGCTGGCATATCTTGATAACATTCGGAAGAACACAGGGGCTTCCCGTATACGCTTAACTCTTATTAATTATGGCTTTGGATTCATATGGATCTCGCAATTTATTGGTGACATAAATATGTTTTTACAACAATTTCGTACTCGCGCTGTTGATATGTTCCGACAGGATTGGCATTCTACACTTTCAGGAAGCTCGAGATACGACACATATCGAAATATTAAGTTTCTCCTTGAACCAAAGTCGTATCTTTCAAATTTAAGATTGAAACATCAACGCAATACATTTTAACACTTTAGGCTTGGTCTGAGTGATTAAAAAGAGAATAGAGGAAGATATTTAGATATTAAAAAGTCACTGAGAATTTGCCCCGTCTGTAACCTTGGTGCTGAAGACGAATTTCATGTTTTGTTTATTTGCCCTGTATATAACAAAATAAGAATAAAATATCTACCCGCCTGGTTATTTTCATGTATATCTACTAACAGCTTTGAATGTATGTCTGCTGTCAAGCAAAACGTATAGCGATCAACTACAAGTATCTTTATACATTCACCATGCTTTTGTGTTACGTCAGTTGTTGTTGTCTTGATAGTCCGTATACTACAATATTTGTTAAAGTAACTGTATGTCTATTATGTAACTCACTTGTATATGGGCCAATGGCCTTTCATAAAAAATACCATTGAATTGAAGTGAATTAAATTGAATAATGCTAACAGGAAATCGGCCTAGATGATGTTTTTGCGTCTCAATGAAGTGGTTCAAGTATCATGGCGAATATAGATTTTGATTATAACCGATCTTCAGTAATCCCAAATTCTCCATTGCAACCTGCAGAAAATATCAACCGATACCTGAACACTCCTAATTGTGCCATATTAGAATGGAAAACACCTGTGTTATCATTACAGGTTTTGAACTTTGATTCGATTTTCTTTTGTTTAATTCGAAACCACACGCTGAACATATCTAATCTACATGTGAAACCTTTACATTGAAAACACCAGGTTTATCTCCCAGTTCTACATCCCTGGAGGACAGGTCACATTGCAAGAATCAAAAGTGTCATGGAAAAATAGTTTTCAAATTCATGATTAGGGTTATCCATGTTAGACAAATGGTCGCCTGCTTAACAACGAGTAAAATACGTTTGTCAGTAAATTGCGTTTGAGTCAAGCATTAGGTGGGAAGGAGGAACTTTAGCGACGGACACACTATCCATTATCATTATCAAACAATACGTAATGTGATGAGCAGGACAAATTGTTATTTGTGCGCATTAATCTACTTACCAGAGCAATAGGATACCATTAATACCAGTATTGTTCCAGACACCCTCACGTCGCCCATGCTGCACACGCGTGCTGTGACTTCAAAACATTTCCTCATATCGACTCTCGGGTGAACGAGTCAGTGACTTATTTCCTGTGACCTGTGACAGTTTCCCCGTTTGAAAATGGATTTGTCTGCAGAAATGTGTTTTTTCACAATTTTATTTTTTCTCTCCCCATGTTTTTGCATCAATAACCTTTACACCTTATATTTCTATAACACTACAGTACAACTAATATCTCTTTCACTTTAATTAACTATCTTTTGAACAGCCTTTGCTGATAACATTGTAAGATTATGTCCATTAACAGTCGTGTGTGACCACTGGTAGTTAATGGGGCGCCGGCGAGATCTAGTATTGATTACCAAAATGGGGGAAGATGTGAAGCCCTTTTTTTAGTGTCCCCCGTCGGGTATTGCTTGAACATGGGTAAAACCTAACTAACGCACTCTTTCTTACAGGATAGGGGTAAGGATAAGTTATATTTCATACTGAAAGGCCTCAGGCCCATAGTACAATTCTGTTTTCGAGAGTGGTAGCTGATATGTTTAACAGGTCATATTATAATTAACATAGGATGATAAATGAACATTGATAGTTTTTTAGAGTATCTTTATCAGTTGTTGACATGATCGATAAAGTTTTGTTGAGTTGGATGTACATAAAAATGTAGTTCAATATATTTACTTCTTAGATGGTCGTATTTGGGACAGACCAACAGAAAATGAAACTCATCTTCAATCACATTTAACCACATTGCTCACATATTCTCAATTCCCTGGCTCTGTTTCTATGTTTGGCTACTTCGATCCTATGTCTATTAGAGCCGCATCTAAATTGTGCTAAAATTGATATCTACAAATAGTATTTTGGGGGAATAGTAGTCTTAAAAAGCTTGTAATAATTGCATTTTTCTGAACTTGCGATGACCATTTATGTAAGTAAATATCCTTGAGTCTTGGAAGTATAGATACTGAAAACGAATCTGCATAGTTAGGTACACATTGATTATACAAAATATACCCATTCTTACATATGATGTAGCAGTAAGTCGAGGGACATATTCAAACCTGCCTGGACTGCTAATTTTCCCCAGCCTCATGATCCTTGAACTGTCAACTCGTCCTTACCAGAACCTCATATCACACACTGTCCATACTGGGTGTCGAACAAGGGATACTGCAGACACTATACTGAATATATCTAACTTAGCTGCAAGAAGATACAGTGATGCACACTTCAAATGCTTTGTCAATGATTTTAAGAGTGAGTTCCTGTGAGTGAGTTCCTGTGAGTGAGTTCCTGTGAGTAACTGAGTGAGTGAGTGAGTGAGTGAGTGAGTGAGTGTTAAACTCAGTCTAGACGCAAACAAAACAGTATTTTGCATTGTTAGTGTATATTGCCAAATTGAAACAATGTGTTAACCCCGAAATCTGTACGTAAAAGAACTGTTTGTGAAACCAATCAACAACCAACAAGAAGTATACAATCAACAAATGTATTTACAATAGTAATTAAGTTTACAAATCAATACAAACTACTGCACAGCAATCACAATGGCAGTAAACAATAGAGTTGTAGTACAATATTCAATGGCAATATATACATAATCGCAATGGTCAGTACCAAATACAAAAATACAGTGGTGATAGCAAAAGTCAGTGATAATAATATATGTTTACCCAGTGGCGACAGTGGTCAAGCTTCCGAGATGGGCTAGGCAGGGAATCAGGGACGATGAGTGATCCTCACATGAAAGCTGGTTCCGATTTGATGAAAATGCGTGAGAGACACGTTAACACGTTATTGTCCCCTTATATACAGCCCAACTAGCTACTGGAATGTTCTACACAGTGCCTTCACCAGTATAACTGCACGATAACATCACAGAGGTTTCTATAACAAACTATCACCGTCCGGGGTATACAGGACCACACCAGCATCTAAACATAGTAACTTCATGACGACT